TGGCAACGACGTTGTAATGTTTACGCCCCCCCCCGGTGTTTGACATCGGGGTTGGGTTTTCGTCGCTTGGCAACGACGTTGTAAAACAAGCCAATTCACTTCGTGAACTCGGCAACCAGGTTACCGTTTTTTTTTTTTACCTCCGTTTTTTTTTTTGGCGGTAGCCATGATGGTGGTCGAGTAGATCATGTTGTGCGGGGTGGAGAACCCTCACTCCGCGCAAGGGGGATGATCGCACCACGTTGTGTTAAAATGGTCAAGCACCCTCGAGGCAGTTACACAGTGCTTACAACTGTCTCTGGAAGTGAAAGCACCAGAAAATAAATTAAGTCATACGCAGCTGTCATCCGTACGCAAGGAAGTAAGCACAAGATGCCGAAAACCCTTAGCAGGATGCAGCGCACCCTTCATGCGACTCGCCGAATATCTCACGGCGCTTCGCGCTTGGTGATGTGAGAGCCTGGTCCGGTGAGAACCCGGCGTGCTCCGTCCCGGCTTTGTAGGGATGCGATGTCAATGGTCTAACGACTACGGCATGCACGGCTATGAGTACACCCCCCTCCTTCCCCTTCCCTCCCCTCATTCGTTTTTCCCTCCTTCCGCCCCCGCCTTTTTGTTTTTGCAGTTACGCGGCATGTCGCAGCAGGCGTACGTCACCTGGCTCCTCGGCGGGGGTGCGGCGGAGGAAGCCAAAGCCCGAGAGAAGGGGAAAGATGCGGAGGCAGCCGGCGGCGGCGGCGGCGGCGGCGATGGAGGTAGCGGCGGCAAAGCCTGCACCGAAAGGTGGGTGAATATCTGAACGCCTAATTATATTCGCGTCATCCACCCCATACGTAATCGCAGCGACAGAGGAACATTTCGAGCCGGCACACCAATCAATGTTGTCGGATGTTGGCTTACATGTCACAGCGTGAAGCGGATTTGGATCATTACGCTTTCGAGAAAAATGGGGAGAAAGGCAAGACAGTTTTCCGTTGTGTTTTTAACGGTTCCCTTCCACCTCCACATAAGATCGACGTGCGTTGAGTTGGTTCAGCTGTTTTGTGCTTGAAACAGAGCAAGACAAGGCAAATCAGGGCAAAATCGGCGAAAATAGGGGTCCCAAGAAATTTCTCGCCTTCGGCGAAGAATAAGGCCACTCCTTTCGCATGACCTAACATCGATCAACGCACAATCAACAACACCACTCACACCAATCCACGCCAAACTTTTGTGATTGAAGGTCTACGCTGTCCCCGGACACGAGCTACATGGCCGAGGCCGGGGCTTGGTCCGTGGTCCAGGCCTGCCTTGACGAGTACCACCAGCGGCGCAGCGTCGCCATCGCCACGGGCAGCGGCAACGCCGACGGCGGATCGGCGGCGGCGGCGGGTTCTACGGAGGTGCTTCCCCGGGCGGTCGGTCTTCTGCCGGAGGCCGGCCCCGCGCTCCTCTCGGCGTACGAGGCTCGCGGGAGTTCGTAGTTACGTGTGACCTGCGTTGTTGCTCGGCCCGCCGTGTCCGGCATGCAGTGTATATGGTCCACGCGAGTTCCGGAGGAAAACACCCACGTACCGCCTCCACACGTTGTTTGATTCATGTATTTCTACCATTTTTCAATACAAGAGTCTGCCCACTTAGGTGGCTTCGCGTTGTCGTACGTGCCGTCGTTGCATCATGAAAAAAAAAAGAGAGATTTTTCTTCATCGCCTCACAGATGATACCGTCACCTCAAAGCAGTCATGAATCGTTGTTCCCTGCAAGACCTACTGCGGTAGCATACTCTTGGTAGTCATACAGAATACGACCTACGGACAGAACCGAAACAAACAACTCAATCAACAACCGTAGTCGCACATTACGGAAGGCCTTCTCTCCTCTCACACCTCAACTCGCACGTCTGGCTTAATCGCCGCTCGATGCGCGGCGGTACATAGACTGTTGTAGTGGTATTATTAAATACTGTCGAAAATGACGCACAAAAACGAAAATCAAGAGGGTGTTCGGCGACAACCCAATGACCAGCGTGCAATGGCCGAATCGCCGCACACAAGAGCGGTCCATGCCACTACATGCGCAGCGGGAAGACGGGGCGGGGGGTTGCTGCTACCTGAACTATCGATGCATACGTAGCACTCAGGGGGGGAGGAGCCTAGACACAATACTACAGCTTGCAAGGTGAAGGGCCGCGTGTAATTGGTACACAACAACAGAGACTGACTCCCACCACGAGTGCTGGAAACACATGGTACCATTGGTAGCTCCCTCCCCTGGAACGTATGCATGCACATGCACGACAGACGTACCATGGGACACTACAGCAGCCACGGCGCCCCATTCATACAGCAACGTCCGGGCACAATACTAGCACCAGCACCTCGAACTACATTAAACGTTACTGCTGTCCAAACATGGGGTGGGTGTCAACACGTGTGTGCACTGTCCCGATCTCCCCCCCCCTCCCCCCCAATCCCAAACCATTGCAAACCAAGTGGTGCGCGACCAAACGCATGAAAGGCAGAGGAGGCTGTTTATTCGCTCGTGCGAAAGAGGCCGAGCCCATGTTTTTTTCTCACCCGTGCAACAACGCGTGATGGCGCAACCTTGATACAATCCTACACAAAACAAGAGAGGCCCACCTGACCGCCTCCCAGCCCTCCAATGCCGCCGATGAAATGCCAAGACAAAAGCGATTACACCTGCCCATCATTTTGTACGTGCGAATTCCCTCCTGCCCGCCAAACGGATACCACACCAGTAGTCCTGCTGAAGTGAGCACGTGGGGAAACACCGATTTGTACCTGTTGGCTGCAGGGATCGTTGCGTCAAAAAAAATGCGACTACAATGCGCTGTCAATCAACACCCAACGGTCGAGAAGGGGCCAACAACACACGCAACGATGTACAGCAAGCGAGAGAGAGGGAGAAGGAAGTCGTAGCAAGCTCAGAGAAAAGTACAGCCACAGCAGGGGCAGCCCGCGCTTTGCTTCTCCTCCTCTTAATGGTAAAAAACATGACAAAAAAGACCAAGTCCCCCGGCTTCTTTTTTCGCTGAACGCACAAAGCTTCGACAGAGAAGAAGAAATGAGATAACTGGAAATAAATACTAGACTATACAATTCCACCCAACGTGCTTACGGAAACGCTCTAGACATATGGAACTAGGGGAAGACAATGACAACAACAACTTAACACCCGGCGCGCAGCCTTGGCCGCCCCCTTGCTGAGTGCGAATAGCGCCAACAACGCCCATCAAAGACAAAGAGCCGACTTTAAGTCTCAAGTGTAGATAAATGGCTCGCGCAGGACGACGTCGATCTCACGCTGCCCTCCATTTAGCCACGCACGTCCGTTCTTTACACAAAAACAACCTAAGGCGGTCGCTTGTTCTACACAGAACCGCCACCGCCAGAATAACACGGCCACCCCCCACGGAGAAACAAACACCCGCACATCCCATGCCCGCCAGCAATCACCCGCTCCGTGTGTCATCATCAGACTCAAATCTATCGCGATGGGCCCATCCATCTCGACAGTAGTAGCAGCGGACGGGATCTGACGATGATGCGCCGTTCGTGTCTCACGCAAACTATCCATCCAACGGCAAGCACAACCAAACGTCGAGCTGCTTTTCGTTGTCCTGACCAACCCTCAAGTTGTTTTCACTCGAGCATGTGGTACCTCCATACATCGTACAACCACATGTCCACCCCCATCCATGCGTGGGCGGTAACAAGGGGCCACCGCCGCTGCAAAGCGAGCGCAAAGAACTTGACACTGGGCCCCGCGGGGGAGGGTTTGCAAAAAAGATGGCAGCACCCCAAGAGTGTCTCCCCCCCCCCGTCCCCCGTGCCCCTTCCCACCTCGTTCTATACCACCAACACCCGGCAAAAAAAAGTTCTTGCGTAACTTCATAAACCGCGATCCTTCATTGCCACAGGCGCGTGTGCTAGACCATACAGTAAGAAAAAAGAACGGCAACCTGTGAATGCGCGCCGCCGGCGCTGTTTCAACAAAGACAATCAAGTATTTGTGCCCCCCCCCCCCTCCCCCCCGCCCGGAGACCTAGTTAAATACCGTGTAATACCACGAAGACACTTTCCTTCTTCTACGCTGGACAAAGGGTTGTTGACCGACACCACAAGGCGAGATCAACCACTAGCGAGCAGCTAAACGCCTTCAAGGACAGTAATCATCATGGTGCAGTTTTGTGTGCCTCTTGCTGTTTTTCTGGTCTCTGCGAACTACTGAAAGAGAGGAGACGGACTGAGCCGTTCAAGCTGAACGCGGGCCGAGCCCTGCTGCTTCGGTGACCACGGAGCGAGAAATCGGCGAAACTTGAGGAGGATTGGAGCTGTCCCGAGAGACCCCCGCCCACCCGTGCACTACGATAGAATTCGCACACAACAGCAGCGGTAGCACTTCTCGCCGCTACGGAAGGCACACATACATACGCGCCTTCTGCCTGCCTGCCTGCCTGCCTGCCTGCCTTTCAAAAGAACAAACACATGCCTTGAGGAGCGATGCAAACGACGGAAAATGTAGAATGCCTGCCAAAACCTACGAAACCAAGCGACGCAGAAAATCAACAATAACAAACAAGTTTTTTTAACACGTAAAAATGCCGGGACCCCTAGAATTCATCCCCCCTCCCCCCCCGACGCGTCTTGCTTCGCATGCCCAGAGAGGAAAAAAATGGCACCCAAAAACACAACCAAAGTCGAGAGTCGAACAACCATCCTTTCTTCTCCGGCGGTCAAGAACAAAAACAACGACGCCATGCTATGTACGCAACGCTTGAATCAAGATCAACAAAGTATCGACAGTCTTTCAACCCGAAAAAGTCTCCCCCGGACTCTCGGGAGAAAACTACCCCGCCCCCTCCAGGATCGGTACAAATTCAACGCAACCCCCCTTGAAGACATACCTGAATCCCCCCCCCACCCCCAACTTGCGAAACGACAACGCACGCGGGAACGCAGCGGGAGCGCTCCGCCAAAGGCACGGAATTAATCACGGGGGAAAGCGAAAAATCCGAAAACACGACCCAGTCGTAGTACTGTCCCACCGCCACCACCGGGACAGAACAAACCCCGACAAAAGCCAGCAGCTCCGAACCAATGCAACGGCTACATAGCTCCTGGACCCGCCGCCTCCGCCGCCGCTTCCTTAAACAGCTCTCGTTCTTGCAAGCAGGGATGTTGCTGCCCGTGCGTGGGGGATGGGCAGGTGCCCCGTCCCACCACAATCGTCATTCAAAGCTCGCAACTGTGCCTTCTCAGCGCATCACCATCCGCCGCTTGCTCTCCCCGCTCGAGGACCGGCTGCTGCCGCCGCCGCTGCCGCCGCCGCTGCCGCCTGCCGCAAACATCTTCTTGTAGGCCGACACCTTCGACTCCTTCTTGGCGCCGGCTGCGGCCGCCGCCGCCGCCGCCGCCGCGGGGCCGGCCGTCGTCGCCCCGAGCTCCCTCGGAGAGATCACGGCAGCGGCTGCCGCCGCTGCCTCCGCACTAACCTCGAAGACACGGCCGCCGCCGCGTCTCCCCGCCGTCGCCGCCCGCGCCCCGGTGGCCTCCTCCTCCCTTTTCCGCTCGGCCACGATCGTCGAGCTACGTGGCCCGGCGCCGCGCTGGTAGGAGGGCGGCCAGTCCGTGTCGGACTCGCTGCAAGACCCGCTGCTATCGTGCCGGAAGCTGTAGCTGCTCCGCTGGCTGTAGGCATCGTCCCCTCCCCTGTCGTCGCCAACCCTGCCGCCGCCAACCCTTCCGCCGCCGTAGGCGGTGCTTGTCGTCGTGGCGGTGGCGTAGCTCGACATGCTGACGGCGCTGAAGGTGATGTTGGTGTCGAAGCTGGCCTGGGAGACGTTATCGCCGCCCCCTGTCGCCGAAGAGCCTCGGAATGACGGGGAAAGAGACTCTCCCGACAGGCTGGAGGAGTCCGACTCCATGCGCCGGTAGGACCCCGACGGCCTGCTCGGGTCGGCGAGGTGCTGCTCGTCATCGCAACGCCGGCGTCGTTTATTGTCGTTGTCATCGTCGTTATTCAAAGAAAGAAGTGTTGCCGTCATCGTCGTCGTCGTCGTCGTCGTCGTCGTCGTCGTCGTCGTCGTCGTCATCATCAGAACAAGTGGAATTTCAAAGAAAAGGTGTGGCAACATCACGCGGAAGGGAAACGACATAGGGAGGGGGTTGGTGTCGGTGGATAAGGTCGGATTGGTGGAACGAAAAATACAAGAAAATGAATTAAGGTGCCCAAGAGAAACAGGTGGATGCATGTGGGCAAACCATGCCGCCACACCACCGACATAGCAAAAAACAAACGTCGATGATGACCTGAGACAGCAGCGCAACAACAAACGCCAGTCCAACCAATCAAACCCGCACATGTGCTACAATCGTTCCACGAGCACTGGCGGCCGCGCACCTGTCGAAGCCCTCCTATCCTGTTGCTGCCGTCGCCGTCGCTGCCGTCGTCGTCGTCGTCGTCATCGCCGTCACTGTCGTACGCGAACGACACGCTTCGCGGCTTCTCCGCCGTGCTCCGGAACGAGGGTTCCTTCTTTAGGGCGGACTTGAGCTCCACCGCGCTGGTGCCCGTGCTCCAGCGGTTGCTGACGCCGCCGCCGGTCGGCCCCACGTCCGCCGCGGCCGCGGCCGCGGCCGCCGCCGCTCCCGCCTGGATGGCCTTCCGGCGCACGTCGTCGGGCACCGCACGCCCCTTGGTGGCCTTCGCCGCTGCCACCGCGCCCGCCGCCATGAGCTGTGCCTCCGTGGTCACCTCCCCGGACGCTACCGCCGCCCCCGCCGCCGCCGTCCCCGCCTCGATCGCGCGGTCCCGGCATTCCTCTGCCGCTACGATCGACGCCTGGTCGAGCCCCCGGGTGCCGTCCAGCACCCCCGCGGCGGCGACGGCCGCGGCGGCCGCCGAGGCGGCCCTTGCCGAGGAGGCCCCGCTGCTACTGCCACCGCCGCCGCTGCCGCCACCGCCGGACGTGAACGCATGGTGCGACTGGAACGAGGTGGACGGGACGAAGACGGGCGAGGGCAAAGAGCTAGCCTCAGACGACGACCTGGAGAGCGACAGCGACGACGACATGCGCGTCCCGGCCGTCATCTGCGGGGCCCTGGTTCTGGTAGCCGCCGCCGCCGCCGCCTCGGCCGCGGCCACGACCGCCGCCGCCTCCGCGTCTCTTGCTCTGGAATCGGTAGCGGCGGTGGCGGCCGCGGCGGCGGTGCCCCCAGCATGCCTGCTGCTGTCGCGCCCCGCTGTCCGCCGCCGCGAAGAGAACCGCAGGCTCGCGCTGCCGCCGCTTCCTCCTCCGGTCCTCGAAGCAGCGGCGGCCGTTACTCGGGCGGCCGCCGCCTCTGCCGCCGCCTCGACGACGCTGTCGCCGCCTCTGCCGCCGCCATCGGCGCCGCCGGCAGTAGACGTGGCGTCGTAGAACTCGTCCCCGCCCTCGTCGACCGTGCTCTCGCTCTTGGTGGCCCCCGTGCCCGCGCGGCCGGACCTAGAGCGCTTGGGGCTAGGCGCGACGGCCGCGGACTTGACGCGACGGTCCAGGGCACTCGCGAGACCCTTGGAGCCGCTGGCATCGCCGTGGCCGGCGGCGGCATCGGCGGAGGCGTCCGAACCGGTGTCACTCTGCCCGAAAACGCCTCCGCCGCCGGCCGGACTCGCGGGGTCCGGAGAGGCCCTGGTTGCTCCTGAGCTTTGAGCGCGGGCATCTGTGCGGGGGGGGAAGGGAGGGTGGTCGGAATCAAGAGCAGGGTTGGGAGGAGGTCGGTTATGCTTCTTTTTTGAAACTGCCGCATCGACTGCGGTACAACATCCGGCTCTGACCAACGAGGAAAATACATTTGAGTTTTCTCGTGAGACAACAGGAACGCCAAACACTGTCACACGCAAAACCACCCTCTGTGCGTACGTGCGTGCATGCGGTCCATCTGTGCCTCGCAAACTTCGTGAAATTGGATGATCTGTCGACCCGTCAGCACCTCTTTCGAGTGTGGACCTCAGAAGCGCCCAGAGCCAAAGCGTCGACTGCAGCACCAAATCAAGGAACAATAGATACATCCTGAGAAAAAAACGCGCGAGCCCAACCTTCCACACCTGCTGACGGCATTGCGCTAACGATGCTCTCCCCGTTGAAGCTCGACAAGGTGCTCGCGCTGGTCAGCCGCGCATCGCTCATGCCGCTGGCCATCCGCGACGACGCGGCCAAGCTGCCGCGACCCCCGCCGCCTCCCCCTCCTTCGGGAAACTTGAGCTCCGACTGGGAAGACCCGTACCGCGCCCGCCACTCATTGTGCTGCCGCGCCAATGGGCTTAGCGAGGACACCGAACTCTTGGGGATCTTCTCCACGCCGAGGCTTCCGAGCTCGTCCTCGCCCATCGCCGCTGTTCCCTCGCTGCCGGCCTCGGTCCTGGGGTCCTCCTGGGACAGCGACCGCGCCACCTTCCGCCGCTGCCTGCGGACGGCCTCCCGGACGGCCTCGCGCTCGGCGTCGCCGCCACCGGAGGTGATCTTGATAGCCTGCAGTGGAGAGGGAAGGGGGAAGAAGGGACCAACATAACAACAACAATGAAACTTCGGGCACACATGAATTAGTTCATTGCTGAAACGTCCCGGTCTCTTTTTCTATGCGTGGAAGGAGACGATTTCGTCATACGTTTGGTTAGGAAGACAGAAAACAGAACATCAACTGAGTGTTGGGGCTATTTGGCGGACTCTGCCAAAACGAGGCAAGGCACAGAACATTTCGAAAAACAACGGAAGCCGTCTCAGGAGCCAGCCGTCAATCGAACCCGTCCTGCAACGGCGAGAGCACAACAAGCAGCGATACGTTCCTGCATCCGCGTGAAAAACGTCTGCTGGGTCTCTCCTTCTCTCTCTCACACACACACCTCTGAGTGTGTCTCTTTCAACGGGCGCCGTCGAATGGAACGACTTACTGCGGGGTATTTCGACATGTTACACACGCACGCACACTCACGTACACCTTACACATCTCCGGAAAAACGACGACGACTCACCTTAAGGCTCTCGTTCGAGATGCCCTTGCGCAGGCCCACCGGCGGCAGCCGCGAGGCGGCAGCGGCGGCGTCGGCCGCGCCGCCGCCGGCCTTGGGGCTGGCGAAGGAGCTCGCCATGGAGCTTGAGCGGGACGACATGGCGAACGAGTTGGACTTGGAGGTGAAGCCCGACACGCAGGACATGGGCGACTGCTGCGCGAGCAGCGGCTGAAGCGGCCTCGACACCGACCCGGGAGACGGCGGCCTGAACACGCTCTCGGCGTCATCGTCCTCCGCGGCGGCGGCGGCGGCGGCGGCGTCGCTTGCCATCGAGTAGCTCCCGCGGCCGTCGGGGCCGCCGTAGGACCACGGCACGCCTCTGGGCCCGTCGGCGCCGGCGCGGGCGAGGTAGACCGTGCTCACCCCGCCCGTCGTGCTGCTGCTGTTCGTGGTCAGGCCCGGCGACTCGCCCCTGCTGTCGGTCCTCTCGGCGACCGGCGACAGGCCGAACGGCATCCTGGACGAGGTTTCCGAGGCGATGCTGAGCACGCCGCCGCTGCCGCGCGAGTTCCTACCGCCAACCAGCGGCGAGCCTTCGGCGGCGACCTCTCCGCCCCCGCGCTGGTCGACGTCGGAGTCGAAGCTGGACGAGTACGCCTGGTCGATCAGCGGCGACTCGCTCGTGTTGGACTGCGAAGAGGCCAGCGACGTTGACGCGGCGTCGCTCATGCTCGCGCCGTGGGAGTCCACCTCAACGATGGCGCCACTCTCCGCCAGGTGGCCGCTGCCGCTGCAGCTGCCGCTGCCGCTGCCGCTGCCGCTGCCACTGCCACTGCCGCCGCCGCTCACGCTCCTGCTGCCGGTGCCGCGGGCGCGGGCCGCCTCGGCGACCGAAGTCGGCGAAGAGCCACCGCCGTCGCGGTTCGAATCGCTCGAGAAGAGGGGGTTGTCGGTCTTGTCATGAGGGAGCTCCGATGAGATGTCCGACATGTCCCCCAACTCGCTGAAAAATACGAGAAGCGAGAACGCGTAGGGGGGGGGGGGGGGGGGGG